GCATAACCTCCTGTCACTATGTGACCTATTTTAATTCTTTATATGCCTGACGAAGCCCTGTTTTCTTGGAGCGAAACATGTAGAGTTTCTTGTTTTCTTTTCTTTGGGTCTTTCTTTGGGAGCACTTTTTGAATGCACATAGTATTTACTTTTCTCCCCCCCCCCTTTTTTTGGAGTGGTCTGTACTGTGCTTTATAGTGCATCATTTGCATTCCTCAAGATAGTGAGGTATTTTTGTCTGGATATGGTGATATATGGGGCTTGTCCATTAGAGGCTTACATTAAGGCCTGTGGATGAGTGTAGCCATATTACATATCTGTAGGAAGACAGATTATATTATCTAATTAGTTCTGTCCATAGGGTAACATTATCTCCTTGATAGAGATTATATATTCCATTTTATAAGCTTATGATCAAACTACAGTGTCTTCTTTATTCCGTAACTTCATCTAAAACGGTATGGTATTAGATCTGGTCTGGTGTTATTAACCATTTGGATGTAAGGTAAATAATTGTAATGATATACAGTCATACTATTGTACGCAGTACATTCCACTCCAATAGGTATTAATTACAGCTTAGCATACATTTTATATATATCTGAATAAAGGTTATATTCTAGATTCATTAATTGGCCAGATGGTGCGTAGGGACATGCACCCTTATCCAGCATAGATCCTGTACAACATGCATACATACTTGTGTAAACTAATGCAGGCATATGGACTTATGCCCTTGGATGTGGACAGCTTATGTTCTGGGTCATATGCCTACAGGCATGTGTATATTTACGTAAGTACTGGCGTATACGTTCTGTATATACAGCTGCGTAGAACCATTGATGAGCTTCTATGGTGTTCAGATAATAAGATTGTGCTATGATTCAACAAAGGGTCGGACAAATGGAAATGTATTTTCAGCAGTATTGTTTACTGTTGTTTTGAATTATTCCATTATGGAGAATGCTGATATGCTAATAGCATTGCGGTTCATTTTTTATGAGGGGTGTATGTTATAAGTACTTAGTTTTTCTCCTTTCCTTTCAGCAAAACATCACAAGCAGATACAATGCATTTTATCTTTGATGGTTGCCTTCGCTGTCCTTTTATTGTTTTACAATAGCTTTGTGTAATCTCACAGGCAAATATTAATATTAATACTAGGCAAAAAGTGACTTTGCAAGTATGAGTACAAGTGATAACAATATGATCTGGAATTTTTTCTTCATTTTACATCTGAATCACAAAGGTGTTTTGTTTTTTTTTTGTTTTTTAAATAGGTAAATACATTTGAGCATTGACCCTCTTCTTGCCCACAATTCTTATATTAACTTTAATCTGCACGATGCCCTGTAATAAAAATAAATAAATACCCCATTATAGCTGTTGGATATAATGGACGGGAGCAAATCAGCAGGATTTGAATGTTTACAAACAAGCCATTGCAGGACAACTGAACTTCTTAGGTCTCATGCACACTGCAGCTGTCAAATGTCTGTTTATTAGGCATTTGCCATATTTTTTTCTGCCCGTAAATGCCCCTCTATGTTAGCCTGTGTCCATGCACACCTAGGCTTTTAGAGGAGTTTAGAGGCAGAAATCTGAACTCACCAAAATAGCGTTCAGGAGAGACGCATTTAGGCAGAAAATATGCCCAACGCATCTAAACATGCCTGCGCACTAGGTACGTTTAGCACTAGAGCGTATTTTCATTTCAGTGGCCAGAATAAATTAATATTCTGGCCAATCAAATAAACAAAAGCGCTTGATGAGCCTAAACAGGTTCGCAAAAATGCAGCTTAGGTGAGTTTTTAAAGCTGCTTTTCTCCTGCTAGGAGAAAAGCGTTTTGAAAAGCTGCAGTGTGCATGAAGTGTGCATGTTTCCTTTAGAGAGAGAGAGGTACTTTGACAGAAGCAATCAGCCAGCTCTGGCTTTTAAAGTGATGAGTTACCTGTAAAAAGAAAAAAAATACAAATTAAAATAGTATAAAAAAGACTGTTATAAGCTGTTAATGCAATGTTTTCACATTTTTGTCTCATTTGTCAGCCTTGATAAAAATCTGAGCAGGTTATTTATTAAAGCAATATATGCCCTTAAAATACACTGCTCAAAAAAATGAAAGGAACACTTTTTAATCAGAGTATAGCATCAAGTCAATAAACTCCTGGAATATTGATCTCATCAGTTAAGTAGCAGAGGGGGTTGTTAATCAGTTTAATCTGATTTGGTGTTAATTAAATTAAAAACAAGTGCACTAGATGGGGAACAATGAGACAACCCCCAAAACAGGAATGGTTTTACAGGTGGAGGCCATGGACATTTTTTTCCTACTCATTTTTTCTGACTGTTTTTCACTAGTTTTGAATTTGGCTAGGGTTAGTGTCACTACTGGTAGCATACCTGGACCCTACAGAGGTTGTACAGGCAGTCCAACTCCTCCAGGATGGCACATCAATACGTGCCATTGCCAGAAGGTATACTGTGTCTCCCAGTACAGTCTCAAGAACATGGAGGAGATTCCAGGAGACAGGCAGTTATTCTAGGAGAGCTGGACAGGGCCGTAGAAGGTCCTTTACCCATCAGCAGGACCGGTATCTTCTCCTTTGTGCAAGGAGGAACAGGATGAGCACTGCCAGAGCCCTACAAAATTACCTCCAGCAGGTCACTGGTGTGAATGTCTCTGACCAAACAATCAGAAACAGACTTCATGAGGGTGGTCTGAGGGCCTGACGTCCTCTATTGGGCCATCTGCAAACTACCCGACACCATAGAGCTCAATTGGCATTTGCCATTGAACACCAGAATTGTCAAGTCCGCCACTGGCACCCTGTGCTTTTCACACATGAGAACAGGTTCACACTAAGCACGTGACAGATGTGAAAGGGTCTGGAGAAGCTGTGGAGAACATTATGCTGCTTGTAACATCATTCACCATGACCGTTTTGGTGGTGGGTCAGTGATGGTCTGGGGAGGTATATCCAAGGAAGGATGCACAGGCTAGACAATGGCACCCTGATTGCCATTAGGTATCGGGATGAAATACTTGGATCCATTGTCAGACCCTACGCTGGTGCAGTGGGCCCTGGGTTCCTCGTGGTACATGACAATGCCCGGCCTCTTTTGGCGAGAGTATGCAGGCAGTTCCTGGAGGATGAAGAAATTGATACTATTGAATGGCCCCCACGCTCGCCTGACCTAAATCCAATCGAACACCTCTGGGATATCATGTTTCTGTCCATCCGACACCTCCAGGTTGCAGCTCAGACTGTCCAGGAGCTCAGTGATGCCCTGGACAAGATCTGGGAGGAAATACCCCAGGACACCATCCGTTGTCTCATTACGAGCATGCCCTGATGTTGTCAGGCATACATACAAGCACATGGGGGCCATACAAACTACTGAGTACTATTTTGAGTTGCTGCAATGAAATTTCAGCAAAATGGACTGGCCTGCTGCATAATTTTTTCACTTTGATTTTTGGGTTGTCTTTCAATTCAGTCCTATGTAGGTTGATAATTTTCATTTCCATCAAACAATGGGGCTTCCTTATGTTCCTAACACATTACCCAGTCCATATCAGTATAGATATCCAGCATGATATGTTTCCCCGTTGAGATCTGATGTGTTTTCAAAGTGTTCTTTTCATTTTTTTTGAGCAGAGTATAAACAGATATGCCCTTAAAAACAGTGTAAACATTTTTAGGCTGGCTTATTAGTGAGTGAGTTATAGTCAAGTTAAGGAATGCATACGGACTTCTAAATTCAGACTAGGCATGTGCGCATTGATGACCTGAAAAAGTTAAAGTATACTTTCACTTCTGCAGGCAAATAAAGATAACACCTGTTTTATATTCATTACATGTTCTCATTCACATAGCTAATCAAGAAAAAATGGAAATTAATTTGCTGCTTACATTTTACTTGCTCCATTCTGACAACTCTAGTACTGACGTTTTCCTCTGCTATGCAGAGGGATTTGGGAGTTAATGTTTACCACAATTAGCCCTTCTGTACTGTACTGACAGGTCTCATTATCAGTTGTAAACTAGATTTAAGCAATGTCTGTCCTAACAAAGGGGGTAACAGTCTAGAAGCTGGCCTTCTGCATTCTATGTAAAAAGGGGAAACTCTGTGCGTCCCTCTTTGTCAGTTGGGAACAGATTGCGTTTGCTCTCATTTCAAATTATTCAACATAGCAGTCAGTCCCCGCCCAAGCACTGCTTCAAACAAACACCTAAAAGGTAATAATATATTTTTAACATTTTCTAGGTATGCTGTGTGAATGGGAATATAAACAGTGTGATTTTCTGAAATTTGACTGCACAAGTGCAAATACACGTTAAGATTTCTTTAGCTTTTCTAAAAAAAAATACAAAAAAACTGTGGCTCAGATAAAATGTTACCGCCATTTTTTATTTTAAACTTAATTTAAAAATTACTTTAGGATGGCCTCTATTCCAGATTATATGTTCTTCTAACCTTTGTCACAACCTCCAAACAAGTGGATTCCTGTTAGGAAATGGACACTGGAAATTCTAGGATGATGATTCCCTGGAGTTACCTGCTTATTTGGAATGACTTATTTTTCACTTTCTGTATTATATTATGATTCCCTGTGGACCTTTAGTCACATCTGATCCCTCCTCCCTCCATTTGTCTATATTTTGTCTTTTTTGGTGTGGGGGGGACAGCAAGTCATTTTTCTAGCAAGTACTTGCTTGCTTCACCCCCCCCCCCCAACATCAGTGCTTTGCATAGACCTGTGAAGGCTTCCAGTTAGACCCGGGACGGCACTGGACTTCTTGGTGAGTATGCATTTATTAAAAGTCAGCAGCTAAGGGATTTGGAGTTGCTGTCTTTTACTTTTTGTTAAAATGGGTGAAGTTCCCCATCAACAGCTGAAAAATGTTTGTGTCAAATGATAACCCTGCTTTAGAATATTTATACAGTAGAAATTTCAAATGCACTTCTATAACCTCTTGTGCTCTTTGTTTGACAGAGACAGAGAAAACTGCAGAAAGACAGACTCCTGAATGAGTTCAGCTCTGCCCTAACAAACTTTCAGAAAACACAGAGACAAGCTGCAGAAAAGGAGAAGGAGTTTGTGGCCAGAGTCCGTGCAGGCTCCAGAGTATCTGTAAGTTGAATATCAGAGGTAGTCTTTGCCTGGCTGATGGATGGGTTGTGTAGCACTCCAAACTTTTAGCCTGCCAACTAGGCAATGTTATTGAGCATACAATGTTTGCATTCTATCATTGTTCAGCTTAATAGTTTTTGGGGTCCTTCCAGGACAATGATAAAAATAGGTGCTCCCAACACAGGGTGGTTACTGTGGGGGCATAACCAAAGTCCTATAGTGCCTGATCCTAACATTGGCTAAATGGAGATTGGACAAAAAACATAGACTTTATAGGCACTGCAATGATTGATCATAAAATTCAACACTTTATTGAACATATACACATATGTGTGTATATGTTGAATAAAGTGTTGAATTTTGTGATCAATCATTGTAGTGCCTATAAAGTCCATGTTTTTTGTCCAAGCTCCATTCTTCCAGGATAATGGATGTAATGTAGTGATAGAATGTAATAGTTTCTTCTATGTCTGTTCCCTTTTAAATCCACTTAATAACAGGATGTGCCAATTTTCATGCACTCTCTGCTAGTTTCCAGACTCTACTAAAAGATATGATCACAGTGAAGGATCTAAGAGCCAAATATACATCAACTCTTAGCTGGTGGCCATCATGTTTAAAAGCCGTAACAGAGCAATGTTTTTCAATCAAAGTTTGTCCCCTTAGTTAGAATTTATTAACATATAAACTTAGATCATTCCCTTGGCTGGACTCTATGGATCTCCCTGTTTCCACTCCTGCCCCCCCCCCCACTCTTTATTTTTTTCCTTGCCTTGAAACCCCTCCACTATCCCCTTCCTTTTTCTCTTCCCTCTCTCCCTTCCTTTTTCCCTTCCCTCTCTCCCTTCCTTTTTCCCTTCCCTCTCTCTTTTCCTTTTTCCCTTCTCTCTCTCTTTTCTTTTTCCCTTCCCTCTCTCCCTTCCTTTTTCCCTTCCCTCTCTCCCTTCCTTTTTCCCTTCCCTCTTTCTCTTTCTCTTCTTCCTTACTCCTTAGTTTTTCACTCCTACTACTCCTTTCTTTCCCCACTCTTCAGTTGGACTTTCCTCGATCCACGGCTTCTCCTATTCTCCTTCTATCTGCTAATATCAATAGGGACAACAGGGACAAATTCCACATAATGTACAGTACTGCAACATAATGATTACCCTATCTCTATGATCTTCGACTCATAGGATCCCAGCATATTGTACCATTTTATTCTAAACTACAATTGTCCTCTTAGCTTGCCAACCTATACTTACCTTGTCACAAACCTGCATTTTTTGTGATATTTGATCTCTCCGCTCCCCCTGCAGTACTGTCTTTCTGTGCCCTTACAGTGTTATTGAACTCCCTGTATGCCTTTTTGGAAACTTACAAACCATACTAAAAACTCCTTTTTGAAAAAAAAAAAATCTCTGTCTCATTCTGCCTTTTGCTTTCAAAAAGCACAAAGAGACAGCTGCCCAGCTTGTCAGGACTCTTTATAAACTGTAAACTGTAAAATGGTTTAAGGGTAACTGCCATTAAGCAAAATATTTTAGTTAGGCAAATTTTTTAAATATTTTAACAGCATATTTTATCTAAAAAGTACAGTTCTTTCAAAATTAAAGGTTACGATTCATAGAGGCATTACAGTCAACCTACTAATTACATTTTTTATCCAGGTAAAGCTGTATTCTGAGGATCCTGGAACATATATTGCAGGCTGCAAGCAGCTTCTTACACACAAATAAGAAGAAAGTTCAAGTGTTTAGGATTTTTAAGGCACTAATTGACAATATCTTTCAGATTACTGTTTTTGTTTTTTTTTGTTTTTTTAATGAAACTGAAATAAAATTTACATGTTAAAAAACCATAAAAAGAGGCTGACATTGTCTCATAAAACAACTTAATTGACAATTTCTCTCCATCACCCCAACAATATCATACTTTATATCATGAAATCAATTTATGTCATTGTATAGTTGCTTTGATGGTGGGGTTGAGATCAACACGTTTCAAAAATACTTCTGTAGGAGCTGGAGAAAGTATGTTTCTGAAATTATAAAAAGTATTTACAAAATTCTTTGAGCTTAACCCCATCATCAAGCAATTATAAAATTCCATAAAAGGTTTAATAATGCAAATTGAGGTGTTTTGGATGTAACGGAGGAATATTGTCAATTATGTTGTTCTGTAAGATATTTTCAGACTCTTTTATTGCTTTTAAGACATACAAATTTAAAAAAAAATGTTATAGATATACTGTCTAATGTCAATTAGTGCCTTAAAAATCCTAAACACTTGATTTTTTCTTGTTAAAAGCTATTGTGAAGGAATGATGGCACCTTCCTATGTAAGCATCATTTGCTAATTCTTACATAAAAAAACTTTATTGAAACTTTTTCTTTAATTTAGTTCAGTTATTATGTTTACTTGATAGTATTATCTGCTCAGTGATTGCTTTCACCTAATGTCTGGAATCACTAGTGAAAAATATTTCCTTTCACATCTTTTGACATTCTGCCTCCATTTGTTTCCAGTATAAACACGTTGACTGTTGGCAGTGTGTTGTGGGTTTTTACAACTGAAATGCAGAGCCTGTATATTCATACAGATGTATCTTCTTTCCTGTAGGCTGGTGGGGCAGATGATGGCCTCAGAGATGGCGCACTGGTCAACTGGAATACGTAATGGAGAACAAAAACTTAATATTTGTAGTTTTGTGCTGATTGTTTGCTAGTCCTTAGAGGTTCTTCATGAAAAGATGATTACCCACATATACTATTCGTTGTTTCCAAACACAAAATGCTGTTGTGTGTGGGATTTTTTTTTTTTTACCTTTTAGCTTCACCTTATTGGCTTATTGGAAATGTTCTATATTGATGGACATACAATAAATTGTACTAGGAACTGGCACGTTAGGTGACAGGTCAGTTGGAAAGTGATGCTCACACTCTAAAGCTGGCCGTACGCTAGTAGAATTTTGTGTGAAATGTTTCATGTTAAGAACATTCTTTCGATTTTCTAATTGTTAGTGGGGTCAAAACAGCGGGTTTGTATTGACCGAGGTGACAAAAATTTGAAGGATTTGAAAAATTTGAATACACAAATCGCTGTATGTGTTTTTTGTTTACAAAAATCTGTTTTTATCAAATCAAATGTTAAAAGCAGATGAAATTTTAACGAACTTTCGATAAAATTTCGCCACTAAGAGTTTTTCATTCCAATGTTCATATGAACATCTACTAATATATGGCCAGCTGTACACAGAATAGAAGGAGAGTGAGCATAATATACATCTCCATCAAAGCTTTGTTAGTTTTAAGTAGAATATTAAAAATTTAGAATGCGTCTCAGATTTGTATTGCTGTTCATGTCCACAGTGCTGAGATCTATTTTTCCTTTTTGTCCCATTGATAATAGAGGCAGTGATAATCTCGCAACTGGGTTGTGAGCAGCAAAAAAAAAAAAATTCAATAGAGGTTCTGAGCCATCCATACTCTACTAAAAAGTTCCAGTTGGGTGGAAAAAAATTATTGTATTCGTTATAGAAAATATGAAGAGCTCACCTGCTCTGTTTGGGACAGTAGAGGTTCATATTGAATGGAAAATGATCTACTGATGGTCAGATTTGCTTAAAAATTATATGACCCCATTCTTCAATGGCCAACTTAAAGCAGAACTACACTGTATCTGAGCACCAGAAACCAAAAGCGCTATTCAATTCATTTTTAATATTCAAAGCAATCCACATAATCATCCATATATCAATGCTTTGCTGAGAAAACACTTAGAAAACCCCCCCCTAGCATTTCTGGCCTAGGCCATCTTGAGTAAAGGCAGGTGATTCATGCACCAATTACTTCCTGGAATGAATCTTCCCTTAGCTCAGGCATACAGGCAGGAGGGTTCACTTAGCTGAGTAACCCCTCCTGAAGACTCCTGGGATGTATGACATGATTTGCCTAGGCATGGAAACCAGGAAGTAACTAAAGAAATGTAAAAACCAGTTTAAAACAAGTAAATATGATGTACTTTCCTATCTATTTACTAATGCTAGCAGCATAAGGATTCAAATAAGTCCGTGTTGATTGAGGGAGTAAAGTTCCACTTTAAATACCAGTTTTCTTGCAAAGTCCTCTAATGGAACAACATATTCACCCGGATTATGGCTAGAAATAAACACAACATTTTTAGCTGTGCTAATTGCTTTATTGAATATTTATTGATGCTTTATTGATACTTTATTGATTATTGTATTAACATACAATCCAATAAATAGTGTGCTGTCCCTTTAAATACCAACACTATTCGCAAAGTTTTAAAGTGCTGAAATACAATGTGCAAATTCGCTTTAAAATAATTCTTAAAAAATATATAACATATCAGATAAAGTGCTCATTTGCCAATAAATATATGCAAAACCAATTCATATCTATATACTTGTACCAAAAAATTAATTAAAGTTCATGAATAGTTGATAAAAAAGTGCCAAACACTTCACTTAAGAATTCATGAAATATCCATGAAATGTCAATGCCAGTAGTGTTTGTGAAATCGATAACTGGGAAACTGCAACACCACCTTTACTCAGAGTGCTCTTATACATGTTCACGGGTGTATTCCACCGCCACCTGTGTACACTCTTTAAGAGAAGATATTAATCTTCAGGCTATGAGAGGGTAAAATTAGAATGCAAAAGGCAATCGATGGTCTTGGAATCGGCAACTCAGCTCATCAGCTCTGGCAGCCCGATTCCTCACTACCTGGCTCTATCAATGGCTCCACAATATCTCTGCACACCACCCGCTCAGGATTTGCATGTCACTCAAAAAGAAAATAAACAAACTCCATGGCCCAGTATTACAAACTACTACTCACAGAAGCATCAGTACATGAAACATACAAAGTTGGCACCGCTGATCAGTGGTGTGTGTAATCGCATCATGAATAGGCTCGTTCCTACGCGTTTCGTGGTAACGCACATCATCAGATCTGTCAGTCTGCCTTTAGAACTGAATAAATGCTACCCGTACCTTTTATAGCAACCATAAAGTAGATTTTAAATGTGATTTATGTAAGTTTTTTTACTTGTCATTTGCTATATTTGCTTTTGAGGATATTATCCAAAGATTAGCAGCATATTAACTAACATATGATGCTGTATTACAGTGAGAGCCAATCACAGATAATGCAAGAAGATGATATTACAGAAGATGACCTGAGGCTTATAGAAGAGCGGGAGTCCGCAATACTTCAACTTGAGGTGTGTTTCTGTTTTTTGTCGCAAACGTAAAGGAACAAATAATAATTGTTATAAACAATACAATGTTATAAAATATGTTAAAATATTGGTGAAACAGCAATTAAGTAATTATTAGAGATATTCTACAACAAAATACAAAAAATATTTACTGCAATTAAAAGGCAGGTTGTTAATAAAAGCTGAGAAACTCAAGGATTTAGGCTGTCATATTATTAAAGCGGTAGTAAAGTGTGAAAAGAGAAAACAAAAGATTTCTCCCTGCAAGTCAATGTTATAATGTGCTAGTGACTTACCTTAAAACAAATCCCTCCAGTGGCACACTGTCACCACTGACAAGGCGTCTATCTTCACCAGGGCTTCCTTGCCTGTCTGAATGGCCAAGCTGCGATGACGTCACTCCCGTGCATGCATGGTCCTAACTCTGGCCATAGGCGCCATATATAGCAGTTGTATCCAAGACACAAATTTACGACTGATTCCAAATCTCTGGAGCACCTGCCTCAGGAACTCCACTACCCTAGTAGAGCCACTCCCTAGTGTAAAATCGGATTTTGATGTCAGTGCCTCTACCTGGCATGAACCCTGACTTGTCCCCATGAACCAAAGATAAAATAATCGAATTAAGGTGATTAGCTAGTATTTTAATAGTATCTTTACATCAATATTGAGAAGGGATATCAGTCAATAGGAAGTGCATAGGATTAGGATCCTTCACGGGCTTGAGTATGACAACATCAATAGCGTCTGACATTGAAGGGAGGAGGCAGTTTTCATCTAAAGCTGTCTGAAGTAATTCAGCTCTAGGAGGCTGTCAGGTCCTGGCATCTTACCAGCCTGAAGGGAGGTGATGGCAACCTGGATTTCCTTCAACGTAAGGGGGGCCTCCAGCCATTGTCTGGCCAAAGCTGACAGCACCAGGAACTCCACTGAGAAGTTAGTTTGAATTTCTAAAGCATAATCTGCCCTAGAGGAGTAAACACATGAGTAGAGCATCGCAAACTGGGCATTGATCTGTGCAGAATCAGACAATGGATTCCCCTTATCATCCCTGAGGTTTGCTATATATGACATTGTATAGCACTCCCTAGTAAGCCAGGCCAAGAGCCTACCTGTTTTTTTCTCCTTGTTCAAAGATTTGTTGGGACTGGGAAAGGAGAAACTTTCTGCAGGAGGGTACCCGCATCAACACTATCTCTCTATAAGCTGCTTATATGTCCCTATATGTTCCCTCATCCCTAGTGGTGACATATTGGGATTCCAAAGCATGTGCCTGAGCCTCAGCCTCACGTAGGTGAGAGCAAGACTCCTTACGGATTTTACCTATAGTGAATTGGTATTGGCCAGGAGAATATTGTCTGGGGATGCCATGTGCTGGTTATGCACCCAATAGTCTTGCACATCCGAGGCCATCAGTGGCTCAACCCAATCATCTATGATCCAGTAACAAGAGAGCCTCCAGAGACAATGGCCAGTTATTGACTCGGTACTCAGTGTCAGCAGCACGGGGGCATGATCAGGTATGCTGCGGGGTAGGATGGAAACCTCCTGAATTCTGGAGAGAAGCAGGTTACTCACAAAAAAACAGATCAATGCAAGAAACAGTAGCAAAAGTGGTCGAATGACATGCAAATTGTTTCGGTGGATGCTTCCATTACCAATTGTCACAGAGACCAAACACCTTGGCCCAACGGGCAAAGCAGAGTCATAGGTGGCTGCAGGGTTGAGTTTATCCAGCATAAGGTTAGGGGCATATTCAAGTCAGCTGCCAAAATGATATTTTCTGTGGGATAGAGGGCCAGAATTGGAGCAATTTTAGTAAGGATCGCCATGTTGGCTGGAGGGGGAATATATAAACCAACAACAACAACCACCTCCATACGGTCACACATAGCATGAAGTATCCTCTGGGTCCAGATGGAGATCTAGGAGCGTAAAGGGCAAGGACCTGTGTATCAAAATACTAACCCCTCTGGAGTAAGAGAAGTAGGTAGAGTGATAGTAGGAACTTACCCAGGGCTTCTTAAGAGTGAGCACCCTGTTTCCAGTGAGGTACGTTTCCTGCAAAATACAAATGTGGGGATGCTATCGTTTCAAAAAGGTAAACATAAAGCACTTAAATTTATAGTTTAAGACCCGGACAAGGAAATTATTGTAAGGGGGGACACCGGTAAAAATAAGTACTGTTTGGGCCTCCCTCACTCCACCAAAATCCAGAAGAGAACACAAAGCATCATGTGCATACAATGTGCCAAGTAAGAAAATACAGGGTGGTAGCACCCCTGAGCATATAATAGAAGTGCAAAACATTGTGCCTTAGAAAACAACCAGAAACAGAAAAACAACAAAAACAAAAAAGAAATCCCCCCCCCCATACCACTCTGCAACACCCCCCAAACAAGGGTGTTCTTTGATTCCACGAACTCTCATGGCAAACTGCCAGTGGTGGGTAGTGAGCAAGTGAACCACTGAAGAATGTAGCAGTAAAGTTCTAATGGTCCCTGCAGACCTAACATCACCCAGATTATACTGGGGGCACTATTCTTCAAACTTGTTACCAAACAGTATTCTAAACAGCAACAATTGAGGTCTCTCTTGCCAGTCCAAAGAGCCAAAAGACTTATAGAGGAGGTCCGCTCCCTGTAACCTGGAACACTGCAATCCAAAGATGAGGGACAGTCATCTATTTGCTCATAGGAGACTGACAACTGCAGGTGTCAGGCAACAGCTGCAGGGCTTGATAGCTGAACATGTTAAACGGTCCCCAGCCTCCACACGATTCACAAAAGTGCTGGGTATTAAAGAAACAATGGTCCAAGCCCACCAATGTAGTAAGCGGCCTGAAAAAAGTGTAAATTGAAAGACTAACAAAGTCCCAGTGGTAGGTGAGCGAGGCAACTCATGAATGCTTGCAAACATGGTGTTGCACTCCAGCAACCACGTATAGGGACAGTGACGCTGTAGGTAGGGTCTCTAACCAAGTTGAGGCCTCATCAGGTAAAGTGAAAAAGCAGGTCGATTCACCTTCCTGCACCCAGAGACGAGCTAGAAACAGCCTGTAGTACTTGATCCCTCTGTTTCTGAGATTGAGCTTAACATGGTCAAAGGAATGTCGAAGTTTCTGAGTGTCCACAGAATAATCTGGAAATATCATTTCACTGCCTCGTAGGGCAAGGCATCCAACTTTCTAGATTCTCTCATGACCAGGTCATGATCTCTGAAGTTCAGGAGCCGAAAGACAAATGTGTATGGCATGGCTCCTGGAGGGCCTCAAGCCGCCTCCATGCTATGGATACCCTCGACCTCAAAGAAGGCTGAGAATGGTGCCTGGGGGAGGAGGTATGCGTAAAAGGCATTCAGCAAATACTGCAGAGTCTGGACCTTCTGCACCCTTTGGCAGACCCAGGAGATTATTTCTCCTATTGCGGTTCTCAGCGTTTTCAGCAGCCCAGGATTGGAGTGCTTTTACCTTTTTCCACAGGGTATGTACAGTAGCTGTATGGTCATGCAGGATGTCTTCCAACTCTCCCATGTGGCACTCAGTCTCCGACAAAGGGGTCCAGAATTTGCTGTTATGAATGAGGCCAATGTCCAGTTGGAAGTAGTCAATCTTCCCCGTGAGGGTAGTTTGGCTGGTAGTAGTAGGTTACATGAGAGCCACAAAGTTAGCGTGCTCTAAGAGCATTGGCTCCATGTTCTTCATCCGGGTCCCCACACTAGCTGCTTCGGCAGGAGAGGCTCCTGTCCTACCAGTGGAAGAAGTGGAGTTTGACAAACTGTGGGTCACAGAAAACTGCCGGCCCTTAGGCAGTAGGTAGGCATGGGAGAACAGCTAAAAAAAACGATCCTAAGTGATACCAGAGTGTGGCCTGCAGGAAAGGAGGTAGAAAATAGGGGATGGCAGCTGCGCTCCCTCAATATGCTGCCACTCTGGTAGCCATCTTGGATATGCCCCATACCCCCCTAGTGAAAGTACATTTTAAATACATTTGAACTATTCATATTATTATTATTATTATTATTATTATTATTATGTGTAATACTTATCCTTTTAGGTAACCCTATGGTTATCTTTTGAGTATGAAGAACCACATAAAGGCAACCTTTCAGAATACACATACAGACACTGTATATGTTGATTTATTTTAAAGGTGTAGACTCTGGGGCTATTTTCTTGATCGTGGTTTCACTATATGATTACTAACTGACCTGAAATTAGAAGCATACAGTAGATCATTGACTTGGTGAAGGAAGGAGAAGAATGATATTTCCATAGCTTGCACGCTCAAAAACAGATGAGCAATGCTCATAGGGTCTGTCCTGACAAGCTCATTTAATCCCCATCACTAACACACACCAGGCAGGAAACTGGGTGTGCACAGATTGTTTTTCTGCTATTAAACTGATTTTTATACAATGCATTGTTTAGGTAGGAACACCATCATTTATCAAATGATTCATGTGTAATTTAGAAACACATTTCTGTATTTATTTCCAACAGGAAGATATTAGAGGAATAAATGAAATATTTAAAGACTTGGGTATGATGGTTCATGAGCAAGGAGAAATGATTGGTGAGTATGTATTATAAGTAATGAATTTGCCAGTTTTAAATTTCACCATTAGCAGATCTTTGCTGCTTATTCCATTAAATATGAAGGGGGGGGGGGGGGGTTCTTTTTAAATAAAAGTTCCTGAACCTGTCATTGCATTTTGTTTGAGTTTGCATTCTGCCAAATTTATTATATTAATTAAAGTGGTTCTAAAGCCTTATGCATTCTATGCATTAAGGTAAAACACCTTCTGTGCTGCAGGATCCCCCCAGTCCCCCTTAAACTTGCCCAATCTCGATCCACGAGAGCAGTGGCTCTTACCGTTGTCTCCCTCCTCACTGGGCAGATTGATAGTCAATCAAATGCTGTGAGGAGGGAGCGGGGGGTGGGGCCCAAGCCCACACGAATGCCCCATGGAAATCAGCTTTTCAAGGGGGCAGTCACTGAAGAGGAGGAGCCTGGAAGAGGAGGAATCTGGGCTTCTCTGTTCAAAACCATTGCACAGAGCAGGTAAGAATAGTATGTTTGTTATTTTAATAAAAAAAATAAATAAAGGTTTTATGTGAGTTTAATCAAGCTTGTTTGATTTTATGACTATTTACTGCAATTAAACTGCAGCTCTAATGTGAAAAAGAGTGAATAGGGGCCACAGTGCAAAATATGAGGAAAAAGCATGATCCAAATACCAGCAACCTGACTGACATAAATAAATCCTTCAATCCTTTTGCCAATAAAGACAAAAATACAAACAATAAATCAGCTGGCACTTGATTCTTCCTATAGACTAAATAGATATCAGGATGGGTGATGATTCTTTTAGTTACACTGACACCACTAGTCCTTCTCAAAATGGGATAAACTTTCACACATAAACTGACATCACAATTGGCTGCTCACGTTCTCTTAGGCAGACTTGGTAGCAGTCAGGGGCGGACTGACCATTTGGAAACTCGGGCACTGCCTGGGGGCAGTATGGGGCCCCATGAGATGCCCCTGGTACCTTTTTCATAGGCTTTTTTGAGTTTGGGCAAAGACACAGGGGCCCCATGATCCCCTATTGCCCAGGGGCCCCATGATCCCCTATTGCCCAGGGGCCCCATAAGTTGTCATTCCGCCCCTGGTAGCAGTACTGCAAAAAAGCTGTATCTTATATGCCAGTGGCCAGGGTAATAGACAAAAATCTATAATGCTCCTTCAATATGGAGCTTAAGGTTTTATCTGCATTCCTTTTTATTTTTTTCTTTGTTATCTATGGGAGATATTCATGTATGATTGAGGACAGAGAACTGTCATTAGAGGTAGAAATTGCTGTCACAGGATTAAAAAAAAAATTCAAATGCAATCGCACTTGTGGATCTACATGCATAAAAGAAAAGCTGTTCACACACTATGAGATAACCGACATTTCTCAAATAGCTTAGATTAGTGCTGCACTTTTTGGTGTTATCACAGGATTGCAATTTAGAGTGCACTCGAACTTTGAGTTTGTTTGACATCCCCCCCCCCCAGTCCCCCACTGGTCTGCACTCACAGTGGGGCATAAGCAAGTGTCCCCAGGCACACTTACATCATAACCTCTTCCAACCAGACCACAGTCATCCCTGCTTTTAACCAGTTGCCGACCGCAGATAGCCGAATGACGGCTACACTGCGGCCGGCCAGTTCTGGGTGGGCGTCATATGACGTCCTCCCAGAACGCGCTCTACTGCACGCCCCCTGGGGCGCACACCCGGCGATTTCCGTGATCGGTGTCCTACAGACACAGCTGATCACGTGATATGGTAAAAGGCCAATCACAGTGGCTTTTTACCACGTGATCAGCCGTGTCCAATGACACGCTGATCACAGGGAAATGGAATTGCCGGTTCTCGGCTGCATTTTCCTCACGCTGTCAGAACGTGGGGAAAGTACTGCCAAGAACCGGCAGTTGTCAGAGCAGGGATCAGCACTGATCATCAGGGCACTGATGATCAGTGCCCTGAGGATCGGTGCCCAGCAGTGCCACCCACCAGTTCCACCCACCTGTGCCCAGCAGTGCCGCCCACCAGTGCCCAGCGGTGCCACCCACCTGTGCCCATCATTGCCACCCACCTGAGCCCATCAGTGCAGCCCAGAAGTGCTGCCAGTCAGTGCCCAGCAGTGCCGCCAGTCAGTGCCGCCTATCAGTGCTGACTATCAGTACCCATCATCAGTGCCGTCTATCAGTTCCACCTATCAGTGCCGCCTATCCGTGACACCTCAGTGCTGCCTATCAGTGCCGCCTATCAGTGCCCATCAGTGCTGCCTATCAGTGCAGCCTCATCAACGCACCTCAGTAAAGGAGAAAAATTACCTGTTTGCTAAATTTTATAATAGAAACAAAGAAACCTTTTTTTTTTTCAAATTTTTTGCTCTTTTTCTGTTTATAGCACAAAAAATAAAACCCCCAGTAGCAAGTAAATACCACCAAAAGAGAGCTCTATTTGTGAGAAAAACAATGATAAAAATTTCATATGGGTACAATGTTGCATGACCGCACAATTGTCATTCAAAATGTGACAGCGCTGAAAGCTGAAAATTGGCCTGGTGAGGAAGGGGGTATAAGTGCCCAGTAGGCAAGTGGTTAAGCTCAGTCATCTACAGAGAGTTCTGTGCTCAGGCATGGTTTGCACTCACACTGAAGTGAATGGTACTGGACCACAAGTAAACCATGCCCAAGATGACCTCTTCTAAGGTTGTACTCACACTAGCACTTTTAACCAGTTCTGGGTGAGGTTGAGCCCCTTAGGCTAGTTCATTTGTATAGTGTGAGTACTCCCAACTGTGCCTGGGACCACTTAAAACAGGTGGTCCTGGGCCCGGTTCACTTGCGATACAGTACGGTTTGCTGCAATGTGAGAGAAAATGGTACCGAAGCACAGTTCTCTCCATAGAGAACTGTGCAATAAAGCAGGATCCCTGGTCTGGTTAGCCTGAACGTGTGCCTAGGACCATTTGTAAGTGTTACAAATGAGTTCCTTACAACCCAGAGTGAGTGCACACCAGCAGGGGAGTGGGGAGGGTGGAGAATCGAAAGTAGGCATGGCTCACAAAAACCGGCCAAGTGTGAGTACAGCCTAAGGGTTCCCAGGTACAGTTCATCACCTTGGTCTGGTTCATTTGTGTAGTGTGAGTGCTTCGAACAGTGCCCTTGGAAGGCTACATGTTTTGTGCCAGGGACCACTTGCAAGAGGTGGACCTAGGAACAGTTCACTCGTGGTCTGGTACGGTTTGCTTCAGTGTAACTGTGCAAACTGTGCTGAAGCACAGAACTCTACATTGATGAATAGAAGAATGTACCGATCACTGGTCTGGTTGGCAGAGGAGTGTGCCCTGGAGCACTTTGTTACAGACCAGTGTGAGTGCAGACCAGCAGGAGAGTGGGAACGGGGAGAATTGGACTTGGGCGCTGTTCAGTTTAACTGGTCCCAATGTATGTGCACTCGCACTGGAAACAATTGAACTAAACCAACTTCAACTGTCCCGACTCCCCTGCTGGTCTGTACTCACACTGGACTTAAAAGAAGTGTTTGTGGGCACATTTACAACATCACCTCTGCCAACTAGACCAGACCGGGATCACTGCATCTGTTCTCATTCATCTAGAGAGAGTTCTGTGCTCCAGCACAGTTGATACTCACGATGAAGTGAACCTTACTGGACCACAAGTGAACTGTGCCCAGGACCAGCTCTTCCAAGTGGTCCTGGGCATGATACATGATAACCGTTCCCGGGCATGGCTCTAAACATCCATACTATACAAATGAACTGGTCCAAAGTCATGAACTGTGCATGAGTTGAGTTAAAACTGCCAGTGTGAGTGCACAATTAAAAACGGTATACAGATCTCCACACCAGGATGAAACATATTATTTATCAGTCAGCCGGTGGCACAAGATGAAAAAGTTTGCAATACACTTGAATATAATTTTATGTTTTTATTTATGTGTGAAAGTTTATCCCGCTGTGAGAAGGACTAGCGGAACCACCCCAATTTCCATCCATCTATTACCTTTGATATCTATTTAGTTTATAGGAGTAAGCAAGCACCAGCTGATGTATTATTTGTATACCAGTCCTATTGTAACTGCCTCCTCAGCACATGAACTGCTAATCTGTAGCTTTTGTTGACTGAATGGGAACAGTTTGTGGAACAGATCATATGATCTCACCTGTACAACTTGTTTTTTTATGTGATCAGTGTTGTACTGGTATAATGCAGTAAATACTGTTCTAAGAGGGAAGTAAGCAAAAACTGGTTTTCTGACGCGGTTATAGGAAAGGGATGTATTTAGTACTACATAGTAAAGAAAAGCTTAGTCATGCTTGGGAAACTACATTATTTCCTAATTTACTTTATGAGGTCAAACTGATAGAATCATTTTCTTGAAATCCTTTTAGTGAAATATTGTGACATATATAATGACACTTATAACGTATTACCTGCACTGCATTTTGAGAATTTATTAACTACTCATTTAGAAGTACATCGGGCATGTTTGGTTTAAGGTTTGCAATAGAAGCAATACAAAATTATGTTTTTGCCAGAACAATAAAGTGGAATTGACTTTAAAAAATTTGCTGTGTTTTGGGGAACATTTAGAAATGGTAATTGGGTCTAAGCAGTGTCTATTGTTCTGAATTCCTTCTGAAAAAATAATTATGCTTTCTAGTATGGAAGTGTGCCAACCTACACACTCATAGCTGTATATCTGCAGTGTGAGATCTAAGGCCCGCCTCTGGCTCTTAGTCTTAGAAGATTTGAAGTGGGATCTGGTGATGTCCGTAAGGTGCTTCTCACTTTTCTCTTTGCTGGAGGCTCTGGCATGTGGAAGTAAATCCCTGTCTCAAGATAAATGGCTGCTTCCACACAGAGATACAGTGCATAACAAGGCAAGGGCCAAAGAGCATCTGCAGGGAGACCACAGACAACAATAATGACTATCCCTTTGCCATCTGTTTGCCTTTGCTGTGGTGACAGCTTTCAGAACTCCATAAGTTCCTTTTTAAGAAATTATAGGTTAGGCAAGGACAAACAGCAGCTGGTTAGAAGACCCACTGGATTCTTCCATAATCTAGAGAACCAAGCTGAAAAAAATCTTTAAGTCTTCAGCTCTGCTCAGACCATTTGTCAAACACATTAGGAAGAAATATTCTGTTGGAAGTATAATGGTGTGTTCATGATATTGGCAAGTTCTAACAAAACCAAAAACTGAAATAAAATGTAAAAGGGAACTGACACTCTATTGATCTTATGTGGCCTAAACTAATAATATAAACATAATAATGTAGTTATATATTCCCTCGGTCCCACTGTACTATCTTTCATATTAACTCTATTTAGAAATCATAGGTAAAGCTAAATGCTCTTTGAAAGTGGTGAAGGCATTTAAAGAAGAATTCCAGGTATGACATTTTTTACATAGTTATGTTGGTTCAGCTTGGACTAATGTAACTGCATATACCATACCTGTGGGATCCTTCACCACTACTCCAATGATCTCCACTAGTCCCATGCCAAGTGGCTGCCCTGCTGAACATACAAAGTCAGCCACGCAGAACAAGCACCATTCAGAGAATGTAATAGAAAAAATATATATAATGGCGCCTATGGAAAAGGAAAAAATATATCTATATATATATCTATAAATCACTTATTATAATATACCAGCTGCAAAAAATCACCATAAATCAATAAGGTGTAGAAAATAACACAAAAAAATAATTTGCGCTAGTAAATATAAAATTATCTCCATAAATCAAATATATAAATGGTGCAAAAAAATATATATATATGAAAAAATGTTCACACTTTAAAATATGTAACACAAAAAACGTGCACCAAAAAATATTAAAAAAAAAGTGACAATACCACCACCAAAAATATGAATAAACTCACCAGAGCTAAAAAATATTTTAAACCATGTATTGCTCTGGGAACAGTAGTATTAATAATAAATGATAAGTCATTCATAGATGTATCTTCAAGGAATAGTATTCTGCAGAGCCCAGATCCACATAGACCAATTTCAGATGGAGCAAATTGCTTTCAAATCAATTATCATCAAGGAAATCCACTTCTCAAGAAAGCCACCTTCAAACGTATCCAAAGAGGGAAATGCCAGACACTCGGAAGAAACAGAAGGACTTCATGGTGCAGTATTATTAAAACAACATCTTTATTTAGTACTCATTGCACTTAGCTCAAAGGGTGTCCCAGCCGACACCAGCATCAACAGCAATCACAGCAAAACAGATCCAGCTACTCGGCACATGCGCAGTAGCTCATTGGAAACGTAATGACGTCACATCGATCAAGCTCCGCCCAGTGTCTATGTGGATCTGGGCTCTGCAGAATACTATTCCTTGAAGATACATCTATGAATGACTTATCATTTATTATTAATACTACTGTTCCCAGAGCAATACATGGTTTAAAATATTTTTTAGCTCTGGTGAGTTTATTCATATTTTTGGTGGTGGTATTGTCACTTTTTTTTTAATATTTTTTGGTGCACGTTTTTTGTGTTACATATTTTAAAGTGTGAACATTTTTTCATATATATATATTTTTTTGCACCATTTATATATTTGATTTATGGAGATAATTTTATATTTACTAGCGCAAATTATATTTTTTTTGTGTTATTCAGAGAATGTGTTGCATTTTTTCAGTAAATGCAAAGGCAAAGCCTTCTCTAATTGGATGAAAAAATGCAAAGCGATCTCTGGATGGCATCCATGCCAAGACGCTGACCTTTTGTGTTCAGAATTCATCAGGGCAACCACTCAGCATGGGACCTGGAAGCTAGTGAAGATAATTGGAGTAGAGATGTCTACTACAGTGATCTCCAGTTTCTAGGGATATCCCACAGGTATGGTTTATGCAGTTACATTGGTCCAAGCAAGACCAATATACCTATGTAAAATTGCCATAACTGGAATTCATCTTTAACGCATATTTGGACTTTAAAGCAGAATTAAACGTGCTAATAAACATTTGCCAGGAGGTAAAGATATATGGTAGAAGAGACTTTATTAGTTTTATTCACTGGGTGGGGGAGGGACAATGTAACTTTAACTACAACAACCAAAGCAGGGCTCCTGGACAGACAGACCGGATAAACAGAAATACAACATTTGTAAATCAACCAGTTTTTGTATATTGTTCTAATGAATGGGGTACAAAGTGCATAATATGATATGTATTGTATTTACACATCTGGTTTGTCATACAGACAGCATAGAGGCCAATGTGGAGAGTGCTGATGTTCATGTCCAACAAGCTAACCAGCAACTGTCCAGAGCTGCAGAGTACCAGGTAATGGAACCCTACTTAAGTGGCATTTATTGAAAGTGTTGATTGCTCTAGAATTGCTCTTGGGCTGGTCGAAACCAACAGTTTGCTCAGTGACGTATTTTGGGGATCACATATTGCAAGGATATTTAAGTGGCTATAATGAATGAGAGGTATAAATACCAATGTCATAGTGCTGGTGCCATAGACAGCAATAGAAGCGTGACAGTGGTTCTAACCCCTTCACGACTCTATCCAGGTAAACAACAAAAAGGTTTGCTTTTATTTAGAATGAATGAAAGTCAGAGTATTTAGTAAGTAACACAGCAACATCCACCAATGGGACACACAACATTGGGTGTAATTATTTTTTATATAGCAAGTGGGCAAATATTGTTTTCACCAGAGTTCAGCTTTAAATACTGTATTTTGCATGTAAAATGAACATGGGGAAAATTCAGTCTTTAAAGGGCTCGAAGGAAGCATTTTATTTTTGAATCTGAAAGTAAAAATGTGTGCAGGATTAATGGTTCACCATTAAAAACTTAATTAAAACTAACAGAATTGAGTTACCAAAACTATTGCTTCTCCCCTATTGTCCCAAAACCTGAAGGCTCATATTCAATAGAGGATAACAGGGAGGCATGCTAAAGCAAAGAACAAGATCAGGATTCTCAGAAATGTGTGCTAGTGCTGGAGGAGCTTTCCTGCTGTGCAGGCAAATTAAGGTGTTACCAAGGACCTTGTGATTGATAATAGCTTCATGGCTAGACATATGCAGTTCCTTTCATTGTGAATTGAAATTCGGACAAAATCATTGTTATTCGGAGATTCGGATGTGTCACATAAATGTAATTTAATTACGAATGCAACAAAACAAAATTAGTAACTTAATGAATTAATCTGAAACGAAACACATTTTTTTGTTCTTCACATGTCTAGATTTAACTTCCACATGGATAGGCTTCTTCAGCATAAGAGCTGTGAAGATGTGCAATATACTCCTTTAAGAACTAGTTCCGACTAGCTAAGTAGATTGCTTTAAAAAAGAGCTGAATGCATTCCTAATTGCAAATAATATATATGGATATTAATATTTATCAGTAATAACACCACTGATTGTTGGTCATGGGAATATCCCATTGTCTTCTGGGGGATCAAGAATATATTCCTTTTTCCCCACGATGGCGCAAATTGGACTATGCTTTATACAGTTTTTTACCTTTCTCTAAATCAACTGTGGGTATAGGATCGTGTATATGGAGGTTTTGTCACGTAGATAATAGGACAATGAAAGACGAGGTCGGCCTCACTTGTGTCACTAGCCCTGACCCCGCTGGAAGTGGAACAGAGGGTGCTGAGGGACCAGGGAAACGAGTGCCAGCAGGTGTTGCTTGAAGAGCTTGCAGTTGGAGTCCTGAAGAGACTGGCGAACCACCGGTTCAGGAATGGTAGCGATATTTTGGAATCCCACCTGGGTTAAAAGGGCACTCCACTTGCACAACAGGATCAGGATAAGTGATGTGTCAGATCTCCCAGCTGGAACAGTTTATGGTGTGCAGAGCTGGTATAATAGACAACCAGGTGGGCACTCGAGCAGGACAGGAAGCTGGGATCGGAGACAGGAGCAAGGTCACAGGAACAGCCAGGGTCATCATTGGGTGGGTAGCGAGGTACCAAATCATAAGCAAGCCGAAGTCAGGAACCGAGCCGGGATCAGGAACAAGCAACAAGGCAGGAGCGCAATCCGAAGTTAGGTCAGGAACAAACTGGGTCAGCAACAAGGGGATCACAGATGAATACAGCAGGACACAGGGTAACAGCTGAAGACCAGTCAACACTAAGCAGAAGCATCCTTTAAATAGTCCATCTGGCGCCAATATTCACTGTGCATTTCTATTAGCCAGCTGTCTCACAGGAATTCCCTTACAGGTTTTCTATTTCTTTTTTTTTCTATTTCTTTTTTTTTCTGTTGGTTGAATTGGATGAACACTTGTGGACAACCAGGAGTCCATTGATCTAGAATCCCAGGATTGCTGATTGATTATTATCGCTAAGAAACCCCATAATATGCTGTTTTCTTTGACAATCTTTGGACTCCAAATCCAAGTAATTGGTTCCCAATAGGAGTACAGACCCAGTGATGTTTATGCTTACAGCTCTACATTGAAATACTTATAAACAATCCTTCACTATGCCCCCAAAGTATCCTTTTGATCAAAGCAACTAAATTCCTGCTGTTATTTTTCTAGTGAAGTTCCAAAATAATTGTAGAATCTGGTAGGTATGGACAACCTACCTTTTTTTTTTTTTTTTCTTTTCCTACCCTTTCTTCTGATACAAGTGACTCTTTGTGAACAAAAATAATATGATTGTTTTAATACATTGTATACAAACTTTTAATTTGTGATACATTTTATTTTGTAAATCCACAAAGTCATCCTATTTCCAACTCACATTGAATTATTAACTAATTGCATTTTTGGTAAGTGAGGAAAATTGACTATGATATGGAAATGGTTTCTGACTTTACATTTTCTGTATTTAAGCGCAAATCCAGAAAGAAGATCTGTATTCTTATCATCGTGCTCCTTATAGTTGGCATCGCTCTTGGACTAATTATCTGGGCAGCAACAAGAAATTAAAGAGGTGTCCTTAGAAATGTTTTTAAATACCACGGCTTCTTAACAGATCAGTGAAGAAGTAGCCCTCACAGTGAAAATGAAGAAATTGAAGTGTATATTATAAGTATGAAATGTCTTACTTGCACTTTAACAGCACTGCACAATGTTGGGTTTAATGATGTGTTAGCAGTGATCAAAAACTGTATATATTGCTTGCCACGGAATGAAGTTTTTAACATATAAGGACACATTTATAAAAACTGATGTAGTTTGTCTATACCCGTAGCATCCAGCCAGAATTCTGTAATATTTTGTATTGCAGGTTAGAAAACTCAACCCTGCGTATGACTGCTTGTTGGATGACAGTCCTGTTTTTACTCTACATCAGTCCTTATAAATCAGCCTGTATATACTTTGATTCAAAATAAATTCTGCTGTCTCACAGTTGGCTGTCTTCAGGACGACAATATGCTGCGTTCCCCAGCTGCCCCTGCTGCAGCTGAGTTTCTATAACATGCAGGAGTTGTCAACAAGTACTAGAAACTGGAAGATAGATCACAGTAATGGGAAACTGGGACCAGAGGTCTTTACATAGGCAATTCACATTCACTGAAAAATAGTTTACCATACATGACATCAGAGAAAATTCACAGCTGCACTTCTCAATATGAGCCACAACAAGTGCATGGACACCTAAAAATACAGAGTAAACTTTGGCACAAGTTTACAGGGAAGATGAAAAGATGAGCAGGATTCATTCATGGGAAGCAGGTGAGAAACAGAAGTGCTTTCCTATAATTTAGCAAAGTTACAAATCTGACCTTCACAGAGTACATTTAAGAAAACGCAGAACAGGGAAAGGAAGAAAAAAAGCCACCAAACAATGTGAAAAAACAAGACCCAGTAAAGAGCTTTAATTGATCATCCAATATTCTAACAAAAGATGAGGACTCTGCCCAGGAAAAGTCCTCATGCGCACTGGTGTTTTTACAGCGGCTGTTCTTGGCTTTTGACATTTTTTTTCTACAGCTAGTAAACCCCCCAGCAATGTTATCCTATGTGTCCATGCACACATAGACTGTAATCAACGTTTTTTGGCTGGAAAAAAAACCAGGACTAGTGGGCTTCTAGAGTTTTTTAGCTGTAAAAGCGCTCTAACGCTGAAAAACGCCAGAAACCGGCATTTTTTGGACATTTTTTTTTACCCCAAAAATAATATTTTTTGCTAAAAAAACACTAAAAACTGCTAAAAACCACAAATGTAGAAAAACGTGGGAAAATGCTGCTAAACACGGAAAAACACCGCTAAAAGCTAATGCAAAAATGCTAAAAAAATGATGAAAAACTCAAGTTTTTAACGTGTCTTTACACGGCTAACGTTACCAGTGTTATTAAAATGCCCCATGTGCATGGAGAATTACTATGTAACCAAATTAATTTGAAATATTTGTAGATTTAGAGAGGTTTGTAAGAAACTTGGCATTACAAAAAATGTTGCAACTAAGAAATGAAGGTGCCTATCCAAAGCTTATTGTTAACTACCAAATTTATTGAATGATATCCGACCTCTGACGGAAGATGATTTTCCAAATATATGTATTACTTCAGATTTTAGGCCCTACCATATTCAATGGAAAGGGATTTTAATGATTTACCAGCTGTTGGTAAACTCACTGGTGACCAACTTATTTAAGGGAGAAAAAATAAGCTAGGAGAACAGCCAGCGCTGATTCAAACATTTTTATAAAAAATGTTGATATAGCGGGTGGCATCATGGTCCAGAACAGATCTGATTATACCCTAAAGGCAAAATGGATTCTTGAAAATACACATGCTATAAGGTTCTTGCAATCAACCACATTGAAGTTTTCTGCAGTGAATATGTATCCCCTTAGAGGATGGTTTTGAGAGGGGCATCATCAATAAAAGCAAAAACATAACACATTTTTACCATCTACCAAAAGGTCTTTAAATCCTTAGAGCACCTGGACACCATATACTTTCAGACCTAAACTCATTTACATCTAATCGTTCAGAATATATTGATTTTTACCTTCAAATCTTTGTCAAACACCTCCCTTCTTTTTTAAAGGATACATCAGATTTACTAAAAAAAAATGAAAGGATATCCACTGGACTACAGACTTTGTTATTCTGCAGATTTTCTGGTGACTGAGAAGCAAGTACATTTTTAGTCACACCAAGATAAGGAACATTACTTTGTCAAGGCTATCATTATTACGGAGCATACTATTATCCAAGGAGTACAATAAATTCAACAGGTTGTGTAAGAGAGAAAGATTTTGGTTTCATAGATTCAGTTATTCTACCACCACACGTATATTGACAATATATTTTTACACATGTTTTTATTCAGCTGTTTAGCATCTTATTTTCTTTATTTTCCCTATGAGAACGCACTATGTTGTATGTTACTATGTTTTGAAAATTTTCTAACCATCCACTGTACAAACACAATTTCCTCCCCTTCCCTTTTCTTCCACATTTCACATTGTCATATTTTTAATTTCTTTCTTCTCATTAGTCCCCTCATTCTTTCAGCTTTGGTAACTCTAGATTAATTTTCCCTCCTCCTTCCATGCCCCCCCCCCATTTGTTTTCTTACAATATGTAATTTTATTCATTCATCTAATACTCAAGACATTCCATTCCTTGTGTCACATATTTCAATATAATCTTCTTCTATACTAGTCCTACCTTTTAAAATATTATGATCACTTTGCTATTAGTTTTTTATTTTTTATCCATTTTGTTATATTTTTTCTTACTTTCTTTATTCCTAATTAAATTGTGCCTTCACATATTTTTTTCACAATATTACGGCTTTGTCCCCATTCCTCTTCCAGACATTTATCACTTACATTTATTGGTGTCCTTATTACCCATAGCTGGCTTTTATGGCATCCTTTATTTCATCATGTTCTACTCTGCGTCTCTCAAAGTCAGTCTTTTTAAGCTTACACATCCCCATTCAAGCATTTTTCACTAACCCCGCCCCCTGTCTTTGCTAAGTTCCTCTGCATCTTTTCCTGCCCTTTTCATTCTGAAACATTGGCTTCATCTCCTTTTCTAGTTTGATGCGTTCCATTCAAGTCTTCACTGACCTCACTCCCTGTTTTTGTTTAGTTCTCCTGCTGTGTCTCTCACCCTGTTCTCAGTTGGTTTGGAGATGGCTCACAGTGGTTTAGTGCATAAAAGACAAAACCCTATTGCTCATCTGTAGATACGGGTGCAATTGCAGTTCAAGCTTTTGTGCATTTGAGTTCAACTGACAATATTTTTGTTTAAGCCCTGATGAAAGGAGATTGTTGTCTTCCAAAATGCTTTGGATATAGTAGGCCATCCTGTTGTCATGTGCATTTAAGGTTAAAGGGTTTTGGACTTTTGAGACAATTATTTAGTGCTCTCTTTTTTTTATTTATTCACATTGACATCTCAATTTGGGTGGCCACTATTTTTGCCTCTCTCCTCCCCCCATCTTTGTGGAGAGCTGGTGAAGCTCAGCCAATAGACATTATCAATCATTCCTCATTACAGGTTATGGATTGTTGTCCAGTGGCTCACCCTCATCTTTCTTTGGAAATCTGAACATATGGCGCTTAAAAAAAAAATCTAAAGATAACAAAGAAGCATAATAAAAAAAAATAGCACAATGATTTTTATGTATTTTCTCTATTTTGTTAATACTTCAGTGCCAAACTTAGTTATTGCTGTAGTTTCCAAAAATCATTTTTTTATACAGTTTGTGTTCTGTAATATCTATCTATATTTTCGTCATACTTCATTACTGTAACAAAGCATCATTTTGGTGTATTCTTGTTCAGATGCATATACCATGCACTGCTGTGCCTAATTAATGTAAGGGTTGATGTTATGTGTAATTGTTTTGATACATCGTGTAAAGAGAGCGGTAGCAGTAAAATTGGTCACCTTTTATAGGATTCCAAACTCTCGAAGTCATTGTACTCCATTAGTCAATGCAAAGGTTCCTTGTTGATGTGTAATATTGAATTTCATGTGTGTTTTTTTTCTGCAAAACAAACTGTAATTATTCTGTCACCAGGTCCTTACAGTCTACTTTTTTATAAGAATTTAAAGAGTGTAGTAGATTGTCTATTGAATTTACATTCCTACTTTTCGGTGTCCTGTATGCTAGAAATTCTCTTTACAGTCTTTTCAAATTGAACTAATGTCGTAAACTATGTGAAATAAACAGCAGTTTTATTCAAACTCATCTCCTTAAAATACTTGAAAGGCAAGTGGTATTCATATTATACAGTAGGTTCCTTGAAAATAAAAGTTAAAATTTGTGTGTACATTGCAATCTAAACTGTATATTTTTTAAAATTTAGTTTTTCAACAGAGCAGAAAAACATTACCACTCTACTTCAAACCAAGTGGGTGCCAGGTAGCTCAGGAGCGCATCCCCCCTCACTATTGGTGTTACTAACTGATAACTCTGCCATGTTCCTATGAATAAGCCCAGGGAGGATCAAAGCTGAGCCTTGTTCTGACCACCTAGATCAGCCATTCTCAAGCAGGGTTTGCTACGGGTTCCTTGAGCTGTGACTGATTGACCTCAATTTTGTGGATGCCTGCATAGTTTGGGGGCCAACTCCAGGGCTTGGACAAAGGGGGGTTCAGAGGGGGCCTGGAGCCCCAGACACAGCATTTTAGTCAGAAGAAGTGAGTGTGGTAATAAAGGTTTGCTTGCAGTTATTAACCTTGCAGAAGGGCAGCAGGGTACTGAGTACTGGAGCTCGCTCTCTGCGCTCCTGCACCTGGCACTAGAAAATGTACCACTGACAATGATCGCCACCCAACAGCTGAAAGTTAATCCAAACCTTCTCCTCTGATATCACATCATTCAGAAGCCAAGAAGGAAATGCAGAGCTATATTAGTGTGGCTTAGATGTAAGGTAGGCAATTTCCCATGTACAATGAACTGATTAACTCCTTGGGTGTGTGTGTGGGGGAGGTGTTAACACTAACACCCTCCA